GCCGTCCGCCACCAGCCGCGCGAGGTCGGCCTCCAGCCCGGCGACTTCGGTCATCGCCCCGGGCAAAGTCCGAGCAGTCGGGACGGAGGGAATGGGAAAAGAAAGGAAAGCGTTCGCCGTGCACGAAACGTCCGTGCAGGGGTGATTCAACGTTGCACTTATGTTAGTAGTAGTATTGGGGGAGGGGGAGGGAAGGAAAATCATACACAATCCACACAAGGTCACATAAGAGGGAGGGGAGGGGGGGATCTCACACGATGCGTCGTATATCCAACCCGCGAACTACACAACAAACAATGGTAAAAGCGATAATGCGAAAAAAAACAATCAATCAATCGATAGAAAAATACTAAAGCCGTCCACCGGCTGGCGATGGGTATGTCGCCTCCCTTTTGGGCGCTCAGCCCGCACGCGAGTAGGCTTCCGCTGTTCTTCCCACACGCCGAGAAGGGAGCGCCCCCCCCCCCCCCCCTCCGTCCTATTGACTTCGGGTATACCACTTATTATTCGTCAAAAACGTCCCCCAGCGCCACTTCGCGACTTTGTGATCGGTGTGCAGCTTCGTGCAGACCACCACCTCGCGCCATTCCCGCCAGCGCGGCGAGCACCACTTGCTGTAGCGCGAATCGCGAAAGAACATCGCGTACTGGGCCCCGAGCTGCTTTTCGAGCATCATCGTGACCATCGCCCACACCAGATGATACAGACTGAGCGTCCACACGACGTTGTACCAGTCCAGGTCGGCGCTGAGCCGGCCGAAGAGCGTCGGGCACCACGGGTTCGCGCAGCCGCGGCGGGTGCGGTAGTAGTCCCACATCCACATCCGATAGGCCCGGCTCCGCCCGGGCAGGACGCGCCGCGAGACCCACGTCGCGACGGCCGTCCCCAGCCCCCACGCGCTGAGGTTGGTCAGGCTGGACTGCCAGTTAATGGCCCAGACGGACTTCCGGTGTTTGCTCCAGAGGGCCTCGGAGAGCACCCAGTGATGGGTCCCCACCACCGCCGCGAGGGGCAGGGCCAGGAAGAGGTTGCGATCGCAGAAGCCGCGCCAGCCGCGGCCCTCGCCGAGGCGGCCGCCCAAAATAATCGCGTTGCTGGCGACCGTTAAGAGAAAGACGGGGCCGGCCACCAGGGCCGCACCGCGCAGCCCGCAGCAGCCCGCGCACTTCGCCCGGGGCTCGAAGTCGCTGAAGGGCGCGACCGCCGACCGCGGACGGGTGGCCTGGCCTAACTCCATCGCCCAGTCCCGGCCGACGCGCAGCTCGCACGCGCACACGGGCCGAATCACACGTCCCGGTTGGGAGTTATCGAAGATCGAACTCGATCGATCGAT